TTGCATTGACAGCAGCAGAGACTGACCATGACTCCGTTTGTGGAATGATGAAATGAAGATTTAAAAAAAAAAAATTTTTTTTAAAAAGCTGCATTTTTTTTCCATTGTTTTTGGAGGTGTAAGGGCACGGGAAACACAAAACAAAAAAAATATTTTGTATGAGATTAGCTTAATAAAGCTCAATGCCGTCTTTCATTGATGGTTTTGGAACTTTATATTCAAACGGGATCACACGTACGAATCCTCTTTTTCCTGCATTTTCCGGAAGTGACTTTCTTCCAGTTCGGACGCCTTACGGTTCTGGGAAAGTGTTACCTGTCGCTTCGCCATTTTTTATTAGATTTTATTTTTTACAATGCAGATCTATGTATTGTTTAGAAAACGACTCGTGTACGGACACGGCCCTTGGATGTTAACGTTTGCCCGCAGGTGTCACACACCTTGGCCACGCGGGCCCCCAACGCGTCTGCAGAAATGACAAAAGATCAAAAGGGGTTGCTTAACCTGCCGACTTTTTCGAGCCGGAACAAAAGGAGGCAGAGAAAGAACGTGAGCAACTCCCTTCATTATCTCCCCAGACGGCGTTCTTCTTAAGATCGGCGGGCCTGAGAGAGTGAGCCGGACGTATTTCTCACTGAGCGATGGGCTCGGCCCAAAACGTCTCAAAGCAGCAGCCGAGGGCTAGAAAGTGCCACTAACAAAAGGAAAAAGGAAAGGATACTCTAGTGAATTTAGTTCCACGCCCTGGCGCTTCCTGGCGCCTCCTTTAAAAAGCCCTGAAGAGGTTCAGCCACTAAAAAAACGATTTTGCTTGAATTTTGTCGTGACATGATAAAATTACATATTTAGTCTTTTTTTTTTCTAAAGTATTGTACAGTATAAATCTATGGGGAAATATATACAGTATATATACTGTAGTGAAAATTCGTCGAGGACGCAAGTTGTTTTTCGTAACGACTTTGTTTAATTCTCTGTTCCAGTTCAGTGAGTTGCTTATAGATTAGGAATGATTAGTTGTCGATTTATGCACTTCTTTCTCCTTTTTTTTTTTTTTTTTTTAGGTCTGGGGGGGGCGGTGGGGAGATAAATACAGTAATGTAATGACTAAATAACGGAAAAATAAACTCGGAATCCCATTTTCAGATGAAAATGTTTTGCAGCTGTAAATATTGTTTAGATTAAAAAAAAAAAAGAAAAAGAAAAAAGAATAGATGTACAGTTTTTCTATGGTCAATCAAATGGGGTAGAAAAACATGGGGTGGTCAGACTTTCAAAAAAAAAAAAATTGTGTTCCATGCCTTTATTCAGGGGGGGGGGGGCAGTGCCCCTCAAGTTGCACCAGCATCCGTTGATTTCAGTTGAAGCCGAGAGAAGCCCCGAAGACAGTAAGCAGGCTTTGTATAGGGCGTCGAAAAACAACAACGGGGGGCTGGGAGGGGGGGCTTGTCAATACGAGGACCACCCGTGTCATGGGAGGGGGACACGTTTATACAGAAGAGGCTTGATTTTATACCATTTTTTTTTTTTCCTCGACCGGGTTCAAACAGGCGGGGAAAAAGTTGTTGTGCTTTTGTGGAATTTTTTTCGGAGTGCTTTGCATTTTGCGTGTGTGTGCGTGCGTGTGTGCGCGAGTGCAAGAGAAAAGGCCGATTATGAG